GGACAAAAATCAGTCCTGCATTGTTACACTTTGATAATAGGTTAAACACTAGATGGGGGTATTGAAACAAAACAGGTCATAAGTAGATGCGCTGTGGAGCAGGGTCAAAAATAGTTCTCAAGCTGGGGGCGGGGGTGTGTGCCTGTAATCCCAGCACTCAGGCGCCTGAGGCAGGAGGATCGCTTTGAGTTCAAGGCCAGCCTGTGCTACATAGTGAGTTCCAAGTCAGTCTCAACTATCTAGTGAGACCCTGTCTCAAAAAAAAACAAATATCTTACACTACCTAGTATTGAATTTCATAATGTATGACAACCATAGAACAAGGTAGCAGCAGAAGAATGGTTAAAATGATCTATAGCAGGTTGAAAAATCAAGTCCTATCTGGCTTAGTAATGCCAAGGAGGATCTTAAGACTATAATTGGAGTAAAAAAAAAAAATTGAAATGTGTTAATTGCTGCTTGGTCTTTTGGCTAAGATCAGGTGTAGAAATGTGTGATTAGATTTGCTTGGGGGACAACACTGGGGATTGAATTTAGAGCCTGTTTGTTTCAGCACTGAGCTGCATCTCCAGAACTTTTCTCTGAGGTGTGGTCTTGCTAGGTTGCCAAGACTGGCCTCGACTTAATGGTCCTACCTCATCTTTCCAAGTATCTGGGATTACAGACATGTGTCACCATACCCAGCTGTATGATTAAAGATCTTTCAGGAAAAATTTAGTTCTTGGTTGGGGTTATAGCTGAGTGGTAGATTTTTGCCAAGGAACAGGCCCTGTGTTTGATGATTAATATCTGTAAAAAATGTTTCGAAAGTTTGACAATGGAGTTTAAAGGGTTAGACATGGCTGAGGCAGGAGGATCACTACAAGTGGAAGGCCAGCCTGAGCTGTTACTTACATAGGGAGATGGCCAGCGTGCACTACAAAGCAACACCCTGTCTCAAATCAAAAACAAAGGCGACCTAAAATCCCCTAAAATATCTCCAAAGGGATAAACGGAATGGGGGGGCATTGTCAACTCAGGTCAAGCTGAATTAATTTACAAGTTCGGGGGTTATGACTGCATTATAAAGAGGGATTTTTAGGCAAGTTGTCATGTTTTGAATTTTTGGCATAAGATAATGTATACTAGTACAATAAAAGTACAGGAGAAAAAATGTCAAAGTTTTGCAGTGGTAATTCCAACTTTGAATGTATTTTCACATTTTAACACTTTGCATTCAACTTGAGGCGTGCCATTATGCCAAGTTCTTTCGCTGTTTTATCAGGACATTCCAGAAGGTAACTGAGAACCAAAACAATGATAAAGGGTAGCAGAAATCATTAAAGTATAATTAGTAAGTGGAAGGGGCAAGAATCTTGAAGATAATGACAGTTTAGCAAACATTTTAGTCTAAATGCAGATGACTAAAATCTGCCTTTTAAATTCAGACTTCCCTTAACCTCCATTTTCTTCCAGCTACCTGTACTGCCACTTCATTCCAGATTGGATTTATTATCTATATTACTGCAAAGTGATATTCTTTCCTTTATGGACAGTGATGGTAAACCTCTTTAAGAGACAAGTGCCCAAACTGCAACCCAAGTCACTTAATTTATTGCAGAGTGTCAACACTACAAACTAAGCCTGAATACTGAGGGTTTAGTTTAGAAAAAACATTTTGTTTTAAAAACAACACGTGCCACAGATAATGCCACTTTACTAGGCCAGTGGTTGTACCTGTGGGGGTGTGTGTCTTCTGCTTACTCCCATCTACAAAGGAGCTCATCATTCAACTGTTGTGGTTTTCGAAGTTGGATCCCTTGACTCATATTTCATCCTTTATATTGCCACCTCTGGAAGATCTTTTGCAGCTGCGTAATCAATTGTCATTTTTAGGCTAGAAACTTTTTGATGCCTTCCTGTTGCCTAAGCTTTAGTGATGATGAACTAGAACTACTGTGAGCTGTTTTTATCTCAATCTTTTTGCACTACCAGGTATTGAACTCGGGTCCTTTGCACTGAAGACACATCCACAGTGCCCCCACTCCTTTATTTTGAGAGAAGAGTTTGCTCTGATGCCTAGGCTGGGCTCCCACGTGACCCTTGAGTTAGGACTGGCCCGACAGATGAACTCCTTGTGTTACAAGCTTGGAATTTTAGTTTTAACTTAACATACTTCCAGATGGTCTGAGATAGATTTAAGCATTACAGAGTTCTGGAAAGGACATTGCAACATCCTTTTCCTGTGTCGGGTTAATTGAGAAATCCTGGGCTAATTAATGTCTGAAGGACACAGATCTATCTGCTGTATACAGTAGAGAGAGAGTTTGAAGGCTGTGTAGGGGAGCCTGAGCCTACACTTGAGCAGCTTGAGTTACAACCAGCTCTCAGAAGTGAATTGAGCTTCTAAGTCAAGGGCCCCCTTGGAGTACCCTCAACTGCCCGGAGTGCTGGGATTCCAAGCATTAGCTACCCCACCTGGCTGTCATGCCTATCTTATAATCTTCGCCTTTGCACAGATTTACATCGTTTATGTCCTGGGACCACTTAATGTAACACATTCAGGCTAGTAACTCACCTTAACCTCATGTTAACATTCTATAATTACAGGACAGAACTGGAGTCTGGATAAAATTCATAAGCTCATAGACTCATTAGCTCAATATAGTGAATTAAGTTGACATGCTTAAAAAGAAGAGGTAGTTGGTGAATAGAAAATTTTCTGTAGAAGCAGGCAGTCTGGAGAGCTTGTTAAGAATGCTGTGCCACCTGATGAACTTTTTTCTAGTTTTATTAATGCTATTCACTAAAATTTTCAGTGACAAATCTAAGAAAATTGTAGCAATTTAAGGCTTCCTGTCATCCTTTATCCCACGTTAATCTTGGGTGACAACTTTCATTAGCTGTAAGGAATCAATAACTATGAGAGTTTTTGTAAAGGAAAACTAAAATTTGTTACCTGGACCATGACAGTATTGAAAATTATGTGGGTTGTAACTCAGTGAAAAAGATTGAATGGAAACCACAAGAGACTGATATACATATATAGCTTGACGGTCTGGGTGATCCAGAAGCAAAATAAACTAGGAGATTTAAAAATTTTTTTTCTGTTACGTTTTAAGCAGGAATTTTTTGATAAAAAAGTTTGAGTAATTACAGGTAAGTGCAAGGGCCTTTGGGTTCAGACACTAAGCATAACGTAGACTTGTATATCATTGTGTTAGTTTTGTTGCTGTGACAAAATACATAAATATAACTAGAATTATTTTGGCTCACCATGCCAGCGGTTGCAGTCTGGTTATTTGGCTTTGTTGCTCTAGTTTTCAGCAAGGCAGAAACCTAATGGATAGGTTATTATTATGTATATCGAAAAGGTACCAATAAACAAAAAACCTAATGGATGGGAATGGCAGAGGAGAGTTACTTCCCCTATGGCTGTCAGGGAATAGAGGGGGTATGAGAGCAAGGAAAGCCCTGGTGACACACTTTAAAATGTCCCCTGACCCATTCTCTTCACTAGGCTCTGCCTGCTATTGGCCCATTGAGCTGTGAACTCATCAATGGATTAGTCTGCTGATGAGATCAGCACCCATACAATCCAGTCACCTCTCTAGGCCCCACATCTGAATGTGGCTGCACTTGGAATCCAGCCCTAAATACATGAGTCTTTGGGGTATCCTTCATATTTAAATCAACATTTTAAGGGTTCATATTAAAAGTTTGTAATTTAAATTTTATGATTTCAATATGTGACGCGTATCAATTTAAAAATAGATTTGATATATAGGTATTGTTTCCATTTAGTCTTACAATGTAAAGCACAATTTTTTCAGGATAATTTACAATAATTAAAATATCAAAGACGGCTGAGGTTGGAGAGGCTATTGCCAACTTTGATAGAATGTTATATTCTGCCGTATTAAGGTAATTAACAGCATAGTAATTTCAGTTTTCCTTACCGCACAAAATTTAAGGCTTGGCTCACGAGGCTAATGGGGTTCCATTGGGCAGTTGGCAAGATTTGAGTGCACACTTCTAGCTTTTGTCCAGTGCTTTGTCTCCATTAGTTAATTGCAAAACTGCCTGGCTTTGGTGTAATAAGATAAAATCTGTTCTGGTCCATGGCATTACCTATAAGGAAATTTATTAGTGGTTCTTGGAAAATCTTTTTAGCTACATAGCAAAATGAAAGATTCATGTCTAGCATTTGTAATAAAGTAGGTGATAAGCTGTTTCCATTAGTCCCTAAATAGCAATTGGGACAAATCAACCTGCTTAATGTTGGTTTTTGTGAGTAGAAAGAAGAGGGGCTGTGTTTGACAGGTGCCAGAACTCCAGATCCCAAATTAGGCAATGCCCATTCCCTGGAGAGCAGGTCAAGTTTAAGGTTTTATCTTTATTAGTGACTACAGTGACCCACTATGGACTGGAGAGGCTTGAGCAGTCTATCCCAGCAAACTAAAAACTGACCTCGATCTAAGGAAAGAGTCCCTCATTGAGAAAACATAGAAAATCAATTTGAGCAGGATAAACACAAAATGAAGGTTTGTATCAGGTTGGGAGGAGTGAACCCAGCCAGTAAGATCTGAGAAAGACACAGTATCCCCACACTACTTGGGAGCCATGCCCCCCCCCCCACTTTGGGGCCGGTACCGGGGATCCAACTCTGGACCTTGCGTTTGAGAGGCAGGTGGCAGAACCACAGCCAAATCCCTGGCCCAGGAGCCATGTCTCCTAAAAGTTCAGAAAAATTCAGTGTAAAAGCAGTAGAAAGTGTTTAAATCTCCCAACAGGTTGTCCAAATGTAATATGAATGCTTTAATAAAGTAGGAAGGATCAGAAGAATTGAAAAAATTAAAAACATTCATAGATGCACCTGACCTGGGCCCATATTGCTGCCCAAGTCTGAATTGGAATATTGAGCCATGTTAATAGTGCAACCATAGTGGTTCCTTTTTTTTTTTTCTTTTCTTTTCTTTTTCATTTTCTTGGTCAGTTTCATTGTGGCCCCTTTTAATATGCTGTGTTGGATAAGAGCCTGGAAAGGGAGAAGGTTATAAAGTCATGATTTATTCACTTAGGGAAAAAGAGGGCAAGGCATTTGAGGAAATTGTGATCTCATTTCCTTGTAGTTTCTGATCCATTTGACTTTTTGACGTTTGCCCTCACCTTTCCACTCTTCATCTGTTCCCAGTTCAGACTACTGGCTATAGCACTTGAAAGCACCGTCATCGTTCTGCCAATGTTAACCTCAAATAATTCTTGATCATGTTTTCTCTTTTCCCATATCCAATTATTTTCAACAAGTAGACTGAATAGGTATTTTATAACTAGGTATTGTATGTTATAAATGGTACTCAGAGAAAGCCTCTCAGACTGGTCCTACAACGTAATCTCCAGGAGAAAAATGACCTGCATTTTCCCGAGTTTAGAATGGTGCCCGGAAAATAGTAGAGGTCCAATATTAGTTGAATTAATAAATGATAATAAATTAAGCTCCCCACATTATGTAAGTAAGCAGGCACAATTTTGTTTTTATGACATAATCCAGGGTGGCCTGAGAATCACTACGTAGCCTAGGTGGACTCAAACTTCGAGCCCCGTATGCTCCACCACACCCTGCTACGAAGGAATATTAAATACTGCGAAGCTGCAAACCTTTAGTAGCCTAGGCGTTTAACAGAGTTCGCCGAATGACTAATCAATCACGACTTTGTGGCAGGTGAATTTTAGAGGGCAGGCCCCCTTATCGCCCAACCAGCCCCGCTGGCTGTCCGTAGTGGTCAGCTAAAGCCGGGTCTACACCGATATTCAAGCGCCCCGGGAAACCCTAAAAACCCAACCTGAGCGAGATTCCCCGTCCCAGACCTGCCTGTCCCGCCCGCCAGCTTCCTATTGGCTTCTATTGGCTGCCTCGCGCGAAGCCGGCCCTTGGGAAGGAGAAGAAGCGAGCTTCCAAGGCCTGCGGGAATCGCTATAACTGCCTGACGTCATCCAACGCCCAATCAGAAGGAGCAGTCTTCAGTTTTGTCCAATGAGATCGGGCTCGGGTCACGGCCCGCGGAGTTTAATTTTCCGTCCAGGAACGCGGAAGTGGCGAGCCCGTCCGGAGGCCGCAAGGCTGTCAGAGTTGGTGTGGAAAGTCGGGCTGCCCTTCCCGCGGAATCACCCAGGCTGAGTGCAGTGCTCCAGGGCGGATCCCCGGACGGCCCAGGTCCTTCGCGCCTGTGACTCACAGGCCATGCATGGGCAGGTTCAGTGTTGACTTCTGCACGCTTCCTCATTAGCACTCGCCACGCTGAAATTCTTCGCTCGAGGGTGCGAATTCGGAGCCTCGCTTCTATAACGCCCGCCGCTTCCTGATCCCGTGGTTGCCCGAGGCTCGACTCTGGAGGAGGTGAGCAAGGCTATAATGCTGGGTTTGGCGACACCCTGAGAAAGCGAGTGACACGACTGGGCTCTGGTCGCACCTTGTTACCAGCTGAGTGACTAAGTTGTGTCACTTTCGCTTTCATGTTCATCTTTGTCTTTAAAGCGAGCTCGGAGGGATGGTACTCCGCCCTGTAGAGAGAGCTACAGTTCTTTTGTTAAACTGTGAGTCAGACCCCTGTTTTCTTTCCAGGGTCTGTTATAATGACCTCTTACCTGAGAATCTGCCTAGAGTTACCAGGGCAGTGAGCTTCGCCGTCGCACATTAATTTGAAACCTTCCATGCCAGGCCTTTTTTGTAGACTCAGTGATCCTGTGAGTTTTTTGTTTGTTTTTGTACCGGGGATCATACTTGGGTCCTTGTGCTTGCGAGGCAGGCGATGGAACCTCTAAGCTAAACCCCCGGCCCTATTAAGATTTTAATATAATTTAAAAGACAAATTAGTTTCCTCACCGCTGCACCGCTTTTTCTTTGTTTCCGTCACTGTAATGCCAGCCAGGGAAAATTAGTTGATGTTGTAATGAGTAATGAAAGCTCTCTTCTAAATTTATTAATACAATTTATATGCAATTATTTGTCAGGAGTAATATTTTCAAAAAATTTCAACAAGGTGCGAAGAAGCTGATGATGTTTCCTTAAATTTGCTTCACCAATGTCTCTCCTGTTGAGTATCTTAAGAGGAATGCTGGCGTATTTGGGTTTTCCCATAGATCAGGTAAATATTTTTTAATGGTTTTGGATGAATCTTCTTTCTTCTTGGGTCCCATTTTAAAGATGATTTATGTGCGTTTAAGGCCCAATTGTTACTTCTCTTCAGGTGGGTCAAAGGTTAGTTCTCAATAGTATAGCTTTGATAATGAGTCAAGAAAGGAGGGGTGGAGATAAAGTATAGTGTTGGTGGTACACACCTGTAATCCTAAGACTCCAGGGGGCTGAAGGATTGCAGGTTGGACCCCACCCAGCCTGGACATATTAGCACCTTAACGAGACCCTGTCTCAAAATATAAGAGCTGGGGATGTAGCTCAATGCAGAGGCCCTGGATTCAATCCCCAGTACTGCAAAACAAGTGTGGGTGGCTAAGATTAATCCATTCACCTTCTAGATCCAATGCCTATCCTCCTAGAAGATAGAAAGGAAGCAAAATAAAAATATAGGTGTGACCTTCACAGAAATAAGTTTATTATATAGATAAGTAAAACTTTAAGGTAATTGGTGAACAAATTTGTGTTTGAACATAGAATGGTAGCTTATACTCAACAAATCCAAAGTAAATGAGGGAGAGAGGATGATTTGCGCCTGAGAATTATAAACAAGTCCAATTTTATCTACTTATTAGATATGAGACAATATTCTTGGTTCCACAGATGATAGAAGAGCAATACTTGGTTTTTGTACTCAAGAAGTTTAAAATATGAGAGAAAAGAAACATGCAATTGACTATAAGAAATAAAAAAATAGTATGTGTGTTTACAAAATGGGCAAGTCATCCCTTTGGTGAGGTAAACTAGAAGAGTGGTCAAGCATAATGCTAAGATTTTTTTTTTCTTTTCTTGGTACTTGGGATTGAACTCTGGACCTTGAGCTTGTGAGGCAGATGGTGACACCACTGTGCTAAATCCCAGGCCCCCATAATGCCAAGATTTTAAACCAGAGTAAATTGAAGAATGATGATGCTATTACTATAGGCAACTCATTATGAGCAATGGATTTGAGTAGGGAGAAAAAGTGAGCCAGAGGCGATGTTGGAATATATAAACAGAAATTCGTGGCAGACAATTGGATATATGGTTACAGAGGCTAGGGGAAAAAGAGATTTGGTAGTTGTATGCATTGTTTTGGTATTTGAAGCTATGGACATTGATATCATAATGGGAAATGTCCCTAGATGTTATGGAGGCATTTAAATTTCAGTAATAGGCTGCAGACAAGTATAAAGTAACAGTTGAAGTTTTGCTTATCATTATTAGTACTTTTATGAATTTCAACTGATGGACTTGGAACTAAATTGGAGTAGTTTAAGAATGTTAGGAAGGGAAGCGGCGTCAACAACTGTCTTTCGAAGTTTACTTCAGAAAAGTTTGCTTGAGAAATGAGGCCATCAACTCTAAGGAAGGGGAAGCAGGATTGAATTTTTTCCCTTTTAAAATTAGAGGTAGGAAATGTACCAATAAACTCAATGAAAGCTGAAAAAAAAATTAGAGGTAGGGCCGGGGATTTAGCTCAGTTGTGGTATCACCTGCCCTCGCAAGCGCAAGGACCCAAGTTCGATCCCCGGTACAAAAAAAAAAAAAAAAAAAAATTGGAGATAATTAGAGGTAACTTCAGCATGTTTGCAAGCTCCAGGGGAAGAATTTAAGATACAAATGAGAGTGGATGATTGAGCAATACTATCCTGAAGAAGGTACTTGCATGGGGAATCCAAATAAGCCTTAGGGAGGAGGGAGACAGTTGTATTTTAAAGAATAGATAAAAGTGAGAGGTGGTAGATTTTGAGCAGACAGAAATGCAGTTGAAGTATGTCAAATTGAAAAAGTCTTCAACACAAGGACCTCTGTTGGTGACCTTTAGGATCCCAACTGTAATACCAAACTAAAGGACTATCTTCCGGTTATATGGCATGTTTCTCTTCTAATACTTTTCAAGAGCTGACTTCCAGCATATGTATTCCACTGAATGTAAATAACCCTTACAGTTGTCTTATGACTTGATTTATTTATTCTGCTTTTTACTTTTTCTTTAAAGGAAATTGCAGAAATACTCTCTATTGCTTCATTGCTTGATGCCTTGAAGTTGTCAGGTTTTGTATTTATTTTTTTTGAGATGGTCTTGTTATGTTGTCCAGGCTCATCATGAACTCCTGGCTCAAGTGACCCTCTCTCTTCAGACTCCTGAGTAGCTGGGACTACGCATGTGTGTTGCCATGCCTAGCTGAAATTGTCAACAAAATTGGTTTATGGGGCTTGAACCCAAGCCCTTTGCATTGATTTACATCCCCAGCCTTTTTGAAACATTTTTTACTTTGAGATGCAGTCTTGTTGATTTGCGGTAGGCTGAACTCAAAATTTATGATTCTTCTGCCTCAGCCTTTCAGAATGCTGGCATCACAGGTATATATCACCACATTTGGCTGAGAATGTCAGTTTTTGATTGGGTCAAAAGATGGAAGGGAAGGAAGGCATTTTTTCTGAGTAAAGTTTCTTGGACATTATCAGGAAAAAAGAAAATGAAGTGTGTTGCTTTCTTAAAAGATCAGTTTTTTTTTTTTTTTTTTTTTTTTTTTTTTTTTTTTTGTACTAGGTATTGAACTCGGGACCTTGGCTTTCGAGGCAGGTGGAGGAACCACTGAGCTAAATCCCCGCCCCTAGGTTCACCCCCCGCCATCATGGTGGATTTTGTTTTGTTTTGTTTTGTTTTTGTTTTTTGAGACAGGGTCTCACTATCTAGGTGAGACTGATCTGGAACTCACTATGTAGCCCATGCTGGTCTCGAACTCACAGCAGTCCTCCTGCCTCAGCCTCCCAAGTGCTGGGATTACAGGCGTGTTCCACCACACCCAATTGCAATGGTGGAATTTTAACCAAGGGCCTATACATACTAGACAAGTGCTCTACCACTGAGCTAAACCCTACAATTTCATTGTTTTAAAAAGATAAATATTAAAAGAGTTTGGGCTGGGGATTTAGTGCAGTGGCACCATGCCTGACTTGCAAGCAGAAGGTCTTGAGTTTGATCCCTGGTACTGAAGAAAAAAAAAGTCTTAATTCTTTGAAGAAGATACTGTATGTGGTTCTATATTTTCTTTAAAAAAAATGAATGTTTTTAGGCTGGAGGTTTAGCTCAGTGGCATCAGTGCCTGCCTGGCAAGCTCAAGGTCCTGAGCTATAAATCCCTGGCTCCCTCCCCACCCCAAAGAATGTCATTGATGTTATTGCTTCTTTTACATCTCCTTTTTAGATACATAAACATGTTTAAATGAAGTATTTTTTAAATGAAGCCTTATTTTTAAATAGGTTTTGCTGAGTTGGAAAAATAAGGACTATGGATCGCATCGGAGTATTGTCCGTATTATTGGAAAAATGCTTCCTTTAGAACCCTGTCGAAGACCTAGTTTTGAAGTAAGTCCGTCACCATGCATTGTTTAAGCTGTTTATAAAATGATCTTAGGTGATCTAGGGAGATAGGGTATCTAACAAAGCAAGAAATGTTTCCTGCAAGAACCTCTGGTTTACCCTGGGAGCAAGGCACTTCACATATTCTTTTATTCTTTATTTTTTTCTTTTATATTCAAAAGGTGAATAGGTGTAAGGAACACAAGAGGTGCTTACTTGGTTTAATTTTATTTCTGTTTTGTAATAGATATGATTAACCAGGGGAGAGAATATTGGTATGTGCTTAGAATATAGGATAATATTTTTCTCAGTTATTTTTTCTTGCTAACAGTTGCATATTTTTCTACTGAGTGTTCTTTTTCTTCTCTCTTTTGGATTATTAACTTATTTAATGCCAAGGGGGGTGGGGCACTTGACACTTGTCTTCCCTCAATTTCCTGCAGGGCTCTGACTTTTTTTTTCTTTTTTTCTTTTAGTTGATCCCGCCCTTGAACTCTATAGAGTCTGATAATTGTGGACCTATAGTTCCATCTTTTGCTGATATTTTGTCTGTGGCAAATGATGAAGAAGCCAGTTGCCTTAGATTTCGGTAATTGTTATGCTTATCTTGGGAAGTGGGATATGGGCTGTAACCCGAATGCTTGCACATGTTGAAGTTTGTTCATATCGCTTGAGTTGTTTTGTTCTCTCTGTCTGTGTATGTGCTGTGTCCTACAATATCTTCCTAATAAGGGTGACTTTCTCATTTTTAAGCCAGTTTTTCTTACTATACATTTAACCCTAACAGCAGGCATGAGGGCAGTGAGTCACTTTCATTCTGTGTTCTACACTAGAAATAAAAATTGTTTCTATGAAATACTGTAAATGCTACATTTATTTTATGTATTTAGGCAGAATTTACCTAGGGATTTCTGTGTACTAGACAGTGATGTTAAGTATACAGTGGGCATCTGTATCTCTTGAGAGTTCTGTATAGTTCTCTATCTGTGGGCTCCACATTTGTAGATTCAACCAACCGTGGATCAGAAATATTTGGAAAAAAAGTTCCAGAAGCTCCAAAGAGTGAAACTTGAATTTTTTGTGCTCCAAGTACTATACTGAATCCATGAGAATAAAGTGATGTGTAGGCCTTGTATTAGGAATGACAAGAAATCTAGAGATGATTTGAAGTGTGTAGGAGAATATATGCAGGTTAAATGCCAGTGCTGCACCATTTTATATAAGGGATTTAAGCATTTTTGGATTTTCGTGTTATGAGGGGAACCACCCTGGAACCACTCCCCCATGGATGCTGAAGGACAACTGTCTTTCAACCTTTGGCTGTCATTCCTAGGGAGCTCTAACTTCTGTGTTGTTATAGTCAGTATATGCTGTAAGTATAACGAGCATCAACTATTCAGATGTTTTGACTAAATTTATTATATGTCAGACTGATCTGTCAGTTTTTAAAAAGTTAAAAGACCATGAACTTACCCCCAGTTAACATAATCCTGAACATAAAGCCCTTTTAGTTCCTTGTGTATAATTTCTAAATAAACTTATATTGTATTTAAAGTTAATGGGAGGCTCGGGATTTAGCTCAGTGGTTCCTTCGCCTGCAAGCTCAAAGACCCTAGTTGGATCCCCAGTACCAAAAAAAAAAAAAAAGTTAATGGGTGAACAGTGATAGGGTAGTTACAGTATTTTTGTCTTGCAATCTGAGAACAAGACTTGTTCTCTCATTCTTTGTCTCTCATGGCCATCTGGTGGGGGCCACATTCTGTTCCGTTTGTTGAGAACCCAAAGCTAAGTAAGACGTTGAGTTTATCCTCTAAGTCTGTTCGCTGTTTTTTTTTTTTTTTTTTTTTTTTTTTTTTTTTTCATGAGAGTTTCTTTTCTGACTGAAAATCTCCCTCTTTCTCTGTCCCTCTTCTACCTATAGAAGTAGCACCTGGAAAAGTGAAAAAGAGGAGAAAATTAAAACTTTCCATCCTTCACAAATAGTTTGGAATCCACTGTCATCTGCTCGCAGACAGAACAGACCAGTGAAGAATGGTCTGCCTGTAGATGAAGCTGCAATTAAAAAGATATCTGCCCTTGAAAATGAACTAAGTCTTCTTCGCGCTCAGATTGCTGCAATTGTGGAAATACAGGAGCGGAGAAATGGCACAAACTCTGGTAAGTGTTGTGCTGGATTTCTGTTTCAGCTAGATGATGCTTATCTGGTATTTAAGTCAGTGCAACTAAGTAAGAGCTATGCAGAGCAGTGTATGTATCAGACACTTAAAATTGTTTGATGTTTTTTCAAAATAAATCAAGATACATTTATAATGAAGGTGATAGCGTTGGCACAAAGAAGAGCTATATTGCTAGAGATTATATTACTAAAGATTGTATTTTTTTGTAGTATTAAAAAGTCTTTAAGGGCCAGGGATAAGGGTCAGGGATTTAGCTCAGTGGTGCCGCAAGCGCAAGGACCAGAGTTTTTTTTTTAAAGGTTTTAAAAAAGTCTTCTAAGTAAGCTTTTCTAGCCTTTCAGAAAAGCACTGGTGATCGAAGAAGAATGCATTGATTTGAAAGAAGAAAATAGGTTTGAGGCCTCATGTATTTGTAATTTTTAATTGCTGCTGAACTTCCACTAATTGAAGTGAATAATATTTTCCACTTGATCTTCTCTTATATTTTTACAGATGTAACTTCCTTTACACATAAGATTTTAAGCAGCATAGGGACTGAACACTTTTCACAACAGATTTGGTCATGACCTACATGTAAATATGTGAAAAAATATTAATTATATAATTCAAAGTACATACACATGTAACTGATGCAAGTAATATACAGTATATATTTTAAACATATGCATTATATTATATGTAATGATTTATATAAATACATAATAATAAAATTCTATACACAATTTTTTCTTAAGTATGTTTACCCGCAGTTTTTCAGGAGCAGATCTGTTGTGAAAAAGTTAAATAATTTATACCCATTTTAAATTCTTGCCTAGAAAATAATATGCTTGTTTGTCTAGTTTCATTTGAGAGTGGATGCAGCAGTTTGAGTATATAACTACAAATGACCATGTTTTAGCTTTTTAGAATGGAGAATGACATTCAAATTTTATATGAATTACTCAAAAAATGCCTCATTTCTTCTTTAAAATACATGGTAATGGTTTATACTTTATCTGGATGTCCCCTCAAAAATACAGCAGTAGGGCTTTTGAAAGGTGACTGAGGGCTGGAGATTTAGCTCGGTGGTTTCACTGCCTGCCTTGCAAGCTGAAGGACCTGAGTTCGATCCCCAGTACCAAAAAAAAGAAAAAAAAAAAAGGTGATTGAATCGCAGGGAACACTGTAGCTAGCTTGCTGTTGAGAGGTGAGGTCTGGTCACAAGGGGTGGAGTCACTGACAGTGGCCACGAGGAGAGCAGCTGCCTTCCCAGACAGGCCCTTCCACCTTGCAGTTTCTGTGTCCGAGCCTGCCACGTGTGGACTGACCTCTAAAAACGTGAGCCTGAGTAAACCTCGCCACTTTTGAGTCGTGGGTATTATGTCCCAGTGACAAGAAAATGACTAAGACATTGGATTTTCCTCTGTCTCTCTTAGGGGCCTACACTGAGGATTTCTAATTAAATTAAGATGAATTTACAGTTTGGCTTGACACAAATAATTAAGCAGATGGGATTATTTATCACTGCTGGCTAGCACATCACTATTTCAGCAGCATTATAGAAAGTGTTCTGTTCTAGTTCTTAGTAGTGTAGTATATGATGCTAGCATTCGACATATTTTTTTCAACAAATGACTTTGTTTTTAGGCTTTTCAGATTTGAATGATGTTCCCAGCAGTGCGGGACAGATTCCTTCATCAGGGGCGGCTCAGCCATGTGTGGAACCAGATCCGAGCTCAGTGTCTTCTCCTCCTCCTCCACCACCCCTTCCCCCTCAGTTTCCTCCTTTCCCGCCTCCACATTTTCTTCCCTCACAACCAGAATCTGCAGTTGGTGACTCAGATAATCCAGCTACTGAAATGCAAAAGCAGCACCCAGGTGCTAGTAAGATGAATTATAGTCATCATTCAAAAAGCTGGAGAAAGAAAGATGTTCCGAGTATGTCAGATGTTCTAAAGGATCTGAATAAGGTCAAGCTTCGCGCTATTGAGCGGTACGTGGTCATGATCTGACAAATACACTGAAATTTTGTGAGTGATGTTTTTAAAAAATTATGTGTATAAGGAGTAGTATTCCTAATGTTCTACAATGGGGAGACATACAATTACAATGTCAAAAACTAATAAAAGATGTTTCAAAATTATGGAAGGATGACAATAGAAGAAATAGCCAAAAAGAATTGAGAATGATTTAGGTCTGGAAAGGGTATTTAGGAGTTAGGAGGAATAAGAAAGAAAATATCTTTGTCAGCTTTCAAACACATAATATTTTAAAACATAGCTTTTATTTATTTGTTTTTAGTACTGGGGATCGAACTTGGGACCTTACATTTGCGAGTCAGGTGGCGGAACCACTCAGCTAAATCCCTGGCCTTAAAACATAGCTTTTAAATATTTCTTTAAAATTTTCTAACCCCTGGAAAATTAGAAAATTAAAAATAAAGATTTTTAGCACAGTGGTATTCAAGGATTCCCAAATCAGAGTGAGATTGTGGTAGAGGCCAACCCTCATGGTTTCTTGGCTTTCTGTTTCTAAAATCATTGTGCCTGTGAAATACCTTATTTCCTGGCAGAAATCTCTTGAAGACTGATTATATTATGTAATGCTTGTGTTCTTGCTTTGCTTGTCAACAAGGAGCTACAGTTTAAGTTTTAATTTATTCAATGTTTGTTTAAAAAAAAAAAACAGGTCACCCGGCGGTAGACCCATTCATAAGAGGAAAAGACAGAGTTCACAATGGGATCCAGTGTCTGTAATATCACAGGCACTGAAGCAAAAATTTGCATTTCAAGCGGATGATTCCTTTGACAAAGAAAATAGATCTTGGGAGTCTTCTCCATTTTCTAGTCCAGAAACTTCAAGGGTGAGCTACAGTGATATAAAATTAACTTTAAAGTTTTTCTCAATTGTGCTTTTCACAATATAGTTTTATATTCAAGTTCTCTTTAAGTAATTATGCAGAATGTAGTATACATTGTTGACTGTATTGATCTTTCTGTTGTTAGTTTCACATGGTCATTTTCACCTTTAGCTGATAATGAAATAAAACATTTGACTTGAAAAATATCTGTGCATAATGGGTCATCCTAGAGAGGGGCTAATTTGATGTTGTCTGAAACTGAGAGGATCAAGAAAGAACTTTTCAATAAAGTCACCATCAAACAGGACTACTCCAGTATTTTTCACAGTCAAATATAAACACTTGGGATTATGTCGTTGAATAGAATGTTAACTCTGCTTTGGAGTCATAGGTATCTTTAGTGATCATGGTGCTTAAAAGGACACGTGTTGGAGGGTGATTTTCACATCTCATAATTTAGTTGAGGCTGAACATAACAATAAGCCTTGGGAACGAGAGGAGAAGGGAAGGGCAGTGGTGTATAAAGTCGGGTGGGTAGCGCTGAGGAGTGACAGACACCAGCAGAGGTGGGGACTGGACAGCTGCAATGCACACAACCATTCAAAGAGCATAGTGTGGTGGGAGAATTCGTCCCATTTCCATTCCAGTGTGCGTGAGCTCTGAGGGTTGTGTATTATGTGTGTGTTCTGTGTCTGAAGTTTAGTGTGTCGATTCAGAAGGTGATACTTGTTCAACTGTATGCAAAAAAGTATGGAGTTTGCTTTAGAATTGTTACCACCAAAATGCAAATGTTTCTAAAATCACCATTTCTAACATTTGAGTACTAATGTATAACTTGGAAAGTACTTCTTTTTACTTATTTTATGATCTTTTTATTTATCTTTCTGAAAAAGGAAAAAGAATATCACTTGTTTTCTACACAAGAAAAATAAACCTCTTGGTGCACTTATTCCCTACTCTGAGGAGAAAGCAGAGACCAGAACTTGGTTCATTACAATTCTAGAATGTGGAAAAACCTTCTATTATTCCAAGAAATTCACTTAGATGGAACACACTCTTTCTCAGTGATATCATAGCACCAGATGTCACTGGCTACTGGGCCTCAAATAGTAGCTGATGGGGTGCTCAGTTTGTGTGGCTGCTTTCTTGCTTACTTGTGTGTCCCTGGCTGTGAGCTCAGTGCCTGACACAGCTAACTCTCAAATCACTATCGGTTGTTGAATGAGTTAAACCTCAAGGGGTCATCTGATGTAGTCTTGTCATTCTTTTTTTACATTCCAGTAATTTCTGTGCTGATGTGTGCTTTATTCCAGTTTGGACATCACATTTCACAGGCGGAGGGACAGTGATCAAGGGGAAGAACTGATAAGCACAGAGTTGTTGACCAAGGTCTCAAAAGCTGTGTCTACACTTGGAAGGAAAGATGCAGAAACATTCTGGCCAGCCTTTTGCACCTTTCAAAGGATCACATCTTCTGTTAAGTGAGGTTGAATGATGCTGTGGACTGAGAGATATCTGTGGTCAGCTTGAGGGAGACTGTTTTGGGAAAAGTTAAAAAAGAAAACCAGTTTCTGGCTTTGGAAGATCCAGTAGTTAACTGACCCGTAATCCTTGTATTTTAGTATCACTGAAAGCTGAATATATACTTCAGTGATTTTCTTGAGCAATTATGACTTCCTTATTTAAGAATCTTTTAAATCTTTTAAATGGTTTATTTGGCTTCCAAAAACTTGATTTTCAGAGGATAAGAATATAATTTTTCAGGCCGGGGATTTAGCTCAGTGGTTCCACTGTTTGCTTCACAAGAGCAAGGGCTTGAGTTTGATCCCCGGTCAAAAAATAAATAAAAAAGATGATAATTTTTCATTAAGATAGTCATTGTTTTAACCATATATGGATAAACATTCTAAAACCTATTCCTGAGGTAATAGTCTTAGAATTTGACTTTCAAGTGCTATAAAGGTGTTGTCCATATTTGCTGTATAAATACATGGCTGGCATTTCTGTTTCCTTTGGTCATTGATAGAGTTTTACTCTTTTCCTTTGTAAATAGATGGTATAATAAATATGCCTCTTCAATTTATGTCTTTTTTCATTTCCTCATTGTTTATATCTGTTTGGTTTTTTAATGGTTTTTTTATTAGTACATGTTTGCAACACAATGAATACTCAGCTTGTGTCTTGTAGCAATTCAAATGCATATTTTTCTCACTATTTCATAAAGTCTGAGTGAGAGGGAATTCTGTAGTTACTGAGTTTCTTGGGAAATACAAATGAAAAACATAAGTTTGCAATAAGCAATGTGATGCAGAAACTTACCTGTTTCACTGCATCAGTGCAGCAGCCAGGGCGTCTGCAACTATCTAGTGGGTCAGCACCCACTCGTTTTGCTAGGTTCTGCACATTCAGAAAGGCCCAGGTTGCCCACTGTGTTCTTGGTGCGGGAGAGGATTGGTGCCTTCCTCCATCTTCATTTCCAACTCCATTTTCCCTGCACCTTTGTTAGGACTAGCCAGTGCGGTGGTGTGTGTGTGTATATGTATGTACTTTTTGCAGTACTGGGCATTGCACCCCAGGCTTTGGCACTGAGCTATGGCCCTAGACTGTTTTTTGTTTTTGAGACCAGGTCTTGTTAAATTGCCCAGGCTGTGTTTGAACTTGTGATCCTTCTGCCTTGACTTCCCAGAGTGCTGGCATTACAGGTGCCCACCACCATGTAGAAGTTATGACTGTGAGGGAGAGGTATGGAAGGAAGCTTAAAGGATGTGTAAAGCGCAAACAGTTTTAACAAGAAACCGGAAGAGGAAAAAAATTCTTAGAGATGAAGTTTTCTGTATTTACCACGTGAGGGCAGTATAACACCAAGTGCAACCAGGCTGCTGACAATCCTTTACTTTTGGATGACAAGTTTTTAACAATTACAGTAAAGCAAGATTGGATTAAGTATTAATTACAAAAGCAGCTTATAAAGGACATTCATCAATTAAAATAACCATCTCCTTGGATCTGAAACTACTCATATCGTCAGACAAATTCAGTTCTTTCCCCAGAAAATATTCTATAAAATTCAGTGATGAAAGCAAGGGATAGTATTATTTCATTGTTAAACCTTAAGATTGCAGTGAGATTCCTCCAAGTCTTCAGCTGAAGTACAACTATTGCATTCCTAGAGGAAAGCACAGGATTATTTATGCTTATGATAGTTTTTGCTTGTATCTTAATAAAGACTGGTAGATTAAAGAGATGCAATTTTGGGGGCCAGGGATTTAGCTCAGTGGTTCCACTGTCTGCCTTGCAAGCGTAAGGTGCTAAGTTCTATCTATGGTATCACAAAAGAACAAAACAAAATTTTTATTAGGTACTCCAAGACTTATACAGTACATGAAAATAAATGCTTCCAAAGATACTGTTACTGTTTAGAAGATCATCTTGCCCGGATTTTTCATTTTAGCCCATCATCTTCCTAAACAGAATTAAGCCCAAACTTGATCGTGACTTGTGGTATTAGCAGTTTCAGACACAGGTTACTGTGGCACAGCATTGTGATGTGTGGCACCAAAGCCGGCCTGCCAGGCTCTGTTCCGTGAGGTTTCAACCTTTGGCATCACACTTTGGAACCCTCAGTTTTCCCCTCTGGGTTCAGGTTTCCAGCCTTGCCCTAAACAGGTTGTAGCAGGGATTGTGCCATGCCCACTTCTGCCAGTCCTCCTCCCTGGAGGCCCCTCTGCTGTCTTTTATACTCTTGGTATCTGTGGTCAGATGAGGGAATTTAGCGGCGAAATTCATTAAACATTTGATTGGTGCTAGGCACGGTGCTAGGCACTTTACAGCATTAATTTGTGAAATATTCCTGGTAGCCTATGACAGAGGTGCAGTCATGATCTCTTACAGAACAGACACTGAAAACAGGAAAGTTCTTTTCCCCAAGTCCCCTAGGAAGCTTCTAAACTGAGGCTGAAACCTGGGCTACTCAGAATGAGCCACGTCTCCCCAGGGGCCAGCCCATCGCCTCTGAGGTCATAGTGTTGCCCAAGCTCAGGACCAGCACCCAACTCCCCCCACCCGCAGAGTGGCTCGCTGGCTTAACCGTCTTGGGGCTTGCGGTTTCCACCATGTGGGAAATCCTAGTACTCCACAACATGGTGTGAAATGTGTATTTCTCAGAAGCCTTTCCCTACCCCTGCTCCCCCATTTGGCTTCATACATGTAGAAGTGTGTGCCTCTGTCTTATGGACTCTTGCGCCTAACATGGTTTCCAGATCTGTCACTCTCCAATTGCACTGGGCCCTTTGGAGCAACTTGAGGATAGGTACTGGGCCTTACTCATCGAATTTCCTTAGATATCCAAACAAAAACAATTATAGCTAACAGGGTGCACTTCAGTGTGTTAAGAATGGCATTGAATTCTAGCACCCTGGAAGCTGAGGTAAGAGGATTTCAAGTTTGAGCCCAGTCTGTGCAACTTAGCTAGACTCTTGTCAAAGCAAAACAAAACAAAACAAAACAAAAAAAAACCCCCAAAACAAAAACAACAAAAACAAAAAACAAGAAAAGGGATGTGGCTCAGTGTGAAGGCCCCTGGAAATCCCCAGTGAGACCCCTCCCCAAAACAATGATGCAAGTACATAGTTTATCTCATCTCAGTTAAGCACCAGCATTGGAAAAAGATGTGATTACAGTAGCTGCAGGCTACAGATGAAGAAAAACAGCAATAACGTCAGCTGGCCTAAGGTCTGTTGCTACCAAGTAGAAGAGCCAAGACTGGACCCTGGGTCTTCTGACTTTAGAGCCTGTGCATGTGACTTTTAGGCTCTGTGTCCTCTCGACACGTGGGATAGAAAGAGACTTTCCATAAGCATGTTTAGTCAGAGTGATATCTGTGATTAGCAACAGAATTTATCCAATAGCATAGGGAGTGATGCAGGTGAAGCGCTCAAGTTCACCTAGTTAGAAGGTTTCAGAGCTGGGATTTAAACCAGTCTGACTGAGGCCAGGGTGCTTGCTCTCAGTACCCATGGCCCTGGTTTGACATGAAGGCACTCTGGAAGGCCTAGCATCCTTAGCTAGGTCTGTCAGCCGGAAGCCACTGATGCCTGGACCATCTAGTGGGTGGGGTGGCCCTTGGGCTCTAACCAGGACCAGCAGTCAGCTCTGGGCCCTCACCACACTGGACCTGCTGAGGAGGTAACTGTTGGGCCGGATTTCTCCCTTCGGCTAGGTCTGTGTCCCTGCTTGTGTCATGAAAGTGACTGCCCAAGAACTGCCCGAGTCTTTGGGAAACTACTTCATTAAGAGTAATTATTTCACCTTTGAGCATGAATTTGATTTTTGGAAATAGCCAAGTAGTTACCAACCCTTACGAATGAGTGGATGACCAAACCAGGTGACGTCATGAGTGGTTACAAATGAGGTGCGACTTTCAAGTAATTCAAGTGATTTTCTTGTAAGCCTTGTAATCTGGCTCTGGAGGCATTTCCGAAAGACTGGTTCCAAAAATATTTTGTGCAATGAGCACATTAGCTGTGTTACCCAAAGACAATGCTCATTTTATTTTATTTTTGGTGGTGCTGGGGATAAAACCCAGAGTCTCATGCATGCCAGGTAAGTTATATCCCCAGCCCAGAATACTCTTTAAATTATGGAATCTCTGTTAAGAGTGCTGATGAAGCAACCGTAAAATCTTAAGAATCCCCAATGTATTTTGTGATTTATATTACCTGGACAGCGTTTGGTCTCAAGAATTAAAATTAGTTTTAATAGATAATCAGGTAAAATTTTGGATGAAGATAAAAACATTTTTAGCTAGTTAGGTCAAAAGCAGATCCCAACAATGAATGTAACTGTACTGTATCCCTAAAATGTACCAATAAACTCAATTAAAGCTGGAAAAAAAAAAAGCAGACTAGGTGAATAGAAGCTATTGAAATATTGTGTAATAAATGCAGAGAATGTAGTTTTCCTATGTTCATTAAGAAGTTCATGAGACTTTTATACCAATCCGTTAGTTTCTATTCAAACTGAATATTACAAACAAATTTAGTTACTAAAAAAGCAAATGCAAGGTTTGTACGATTATTTCTCCTCCTCCAATGGCACATGCATGCTGCTGGGAATCTCGAATCCCGTGAATTATTGGCACCAGGGAAAATCGATGTAAACTGAGTGAAGTGTTTTGCTGACTTTCACAAGTCTTTGAGGGGTTTGCCTTCTAGTTGCTTTGTTGAACATCAGATTCATAGTTTTTAGTGCAGCTTTATTTTACAGGGATTCTCACTTTTGCCTCTTCCAACCCGATTTCAGATCTAGAGTTTTCGGCAATAATATTAAAATGATTTCACATTCTTTTTATGATAGCCGTTTGTCTCCTTTTTTCTGTCTCAAATCACAGGGAGAGCCTGAGTAAGAATGCAGATGGTCGTGGGCACCTGGACAGCCAGACCTTACCTGACCCTCTGTATTGGGCTGGTTTAGCTACACCTTTAACTTCCGTGGGCCTCAATTTCCTTTTCCATTAGGGTCTTTGAAAAACCCTGATATTCACAAGATATAAAAATGTGTATTTTCATCGTATTTGAGATGAGGTCTCACTATGTAGCCTAGGCTGACCTCCAACTCACAATCTTCCTGCCTCAGCCTCCTGAGTGCTCCATTGATTCCTAGAATGTCAATGATCCCTCAAGGACAATGAACCATGAAACACTTCTATTTCATAATTATGCCTGTAAAATAATTATAGTAGCTTGTTCTGGAAAATGAGAGGGAAGCATGAATTTGTATTTTGGCATTTATGAATTCGTTGGTATATACACCTCCTTATAAGAGCTCAGGTGTTAGTAGTGTGTAAGTACGAAACTGGGTGATCTTTGCTTACAGCAGTATCTCTGGCATCCTGAAAAAAGCCTAATTCTAAAATACCTGCTGTATTCCAGGTGACAATGCTAGATTTAAAATAAAATATCTTTAAAGCTCACTTATACTGAAGCTCTCACCTTG